CCTCCCCTTGCCCAACATCTAATACATGTTATTCTTATATGTGCACTTAGATGTTGATCAGCTAATACCAGTTTGATGGTGAGTACATGTGGTGCTCCATTCTTGGTATACCTCACTTAGTAGAATGCGTTCCAGCTCTATTTCTTGAAAGCAAATGCAAACATTATTTCTTGAATATCTAGCACTGCATTACTCTATACATTGGGTCTTATAAATTCTCACAATAATACTTTGAGCGGCATCTGTTAACATTCTCATTTGAGCTAAGGCTTCAGATCTATTAGCTGTCCCAGAGCCATACAGTTTATATATGAATACATTGAGATTTTAACTTACATCTTGCATTTAAAGTCTATATTCTTTCCAGATTTTGTTTCAGACATGTTACATTTGAGTTGTCAGAAAAACACCTAATTAATTAGGCAAAGTACCTATGATCTGACCACCGAAAGAAAAATAGCCAAATATAGGATGAAGATGTATTCCAAATTGAGAAACTTCGTCAGCATATCATTGATGTTATGTATAGGTATACTTCTTTGCCCAATAATAACTATGATGCAGGCAAAAAAACAGGAACTTGAGAAATGTTATTCTTACAACTACAAATCCTGATTTCAATGTGTTCTGCTTGCTGGTTTGTCAATCACTTGTAGAATTGATTGCAACTCCATGGAAGTTGAAATAGGTGAATCAAATTCAAATCCAATGTCCTTAAAAGTCCCCAAACCAAAATAGGCTGGCAATCCTTTGGCCAATAATTTAGAGTGCTTTAGCAAAGGTAACACAAGGCTGAACAGTGAGTAGTCTCTATCTACTTAACAAAATAATCTTGAAAGATAACTTTATCAGAAGAGGAAAACAGAACTTGTTGAAGGGAATTTCCTATAGATAATAACTTTACATGAATAATTGTTTTTTTCATGAGCCCTTGCATGCCTGTCTAATCACACACAATAAAGAAATAAGTCAATAGAAATGCATTATTCTGCCATGTTAATTTTGGACAGCAAAATTGCTTACTATTTTCTGAAGAATGTTTATCCACACATGGCTGCTTCTTCCTGGTGAAACCATAAAAGTTATTAAAGTAAAAATGAAAGTACAAAAGGACTCAGGAGGAAGATGATTTTTAAAAAGTCATTTCTAGAACAAGAAGTCAATTTTCAGAATATAGTAAATAAAGACACAAAAACTTCACTTCTTACAGTCAACTCTCAAATATTTAGGGATAAACCCAAAGCTATTGCTCTATTTCAAGAGAATATAATGTTTCTCCACTGAAAAACAGATGGCATTATAGAGGTCAATTATCAGGAGGCAGAAAAGATGTTAGTCTTATTTTACAAATGAAGGGAGGTGGGAAGTAAAGTCTTTCACGTGTGGCGACTCTATCACAGGAATTATAGGACAACATCATAAGAGAGAATGAACATTTTAAAACAGTAAGTATATAAACTGTTAATATTTTCTCTATGTATCATAGTATTTCTTTTTATTGTTCTTATTTCTCTCTGGGATCTATTTATACCTTAAGCAAATTTTTATACCAACAAAATGTAGCATTTTAAATGCTGCCTCACAGATGCTATCACAATTAGCAAAAGCCCTATATTAAGCCGGGGGAGAGGGGAGAGAATAGTGGACCATGAATTAGAACACTTCAGTCAAAATTCTAGCCTTACCAATGAGGCTGACACTAATCATTGCTTACCAATAGCCATTTTTCCTGCTCTGTGCTTCCATACCCTCTGTTTTAATTTATATCTTATTTATATAAATACATAGCATCCTTTTACATAATAAAATGTAATTTATAGTCTGAATTCAATAGCTGTGTTCATTAATTCATTTCCTAAATATTTGTTAAGCATCTGCTATGGGCCAGGTGATAAGCTATGAAAACGATAGTGAACAAAATATAACTATCACCTCAAGTAGTTGTGTGTTGTATTATGGATAACATTGCTGCGACCTTGTATTTTTCATGTAACTTTTTATAAACAACATGCATTTTCATTTTTTCTTTCTGTTAAAAACAACAATTCCTATCTTTTAATTGAGAAATTTAGGTCATTTACATTTATTAGGGTAATTGATATATTTGGTTTTCTGTTGCTACAATAGAATACCTGAGACTGAGTAATTTATAAAGAGGTTTATGTTGGTTCACAGTTTTAGAAACTGGGAGGTCCAAGATTGGGTGGCTGCATCTGGTCAGCTTCTGGCGAAAGCCTCCTGCTACGTCATTACACGGCCGAAAAGTGGACAGGGAAGCAGGCATTTATGAAAGGGCAAAAGCACATGTGGTGGACTTGCTTTATAACAATCTGCTCTCACAATAACTAATCCGTTCCTGCAATAACAACATTAATATATTCATGAGGGCTCCACTCCCATGACCCGAACGGCTTCCACTCCTAATTGATTTTGCTGATCCTTTATAGTGATTTGTTATCTTGTAGGGTTTGGGAATGCTTTAATGTGAGTTCATATTTTGTTGAACTTAATCTGTCAGGATCATAAGCCATTATGATGGAAGTGCTTTCTTCCAAGAGAATTTAAGGCATCCTAAGATACTACTAATTTTCTATGGCTTAGTTTCCTCATTACATCACTAATCCTCAGGACTCGATTGCCCTTCTAGTTCACAATTTAGTCTTGAGAAGGCTGGGGGCTGGAGATAAGCTTGTAGATTTCATTACTTTCTGAAAGTCAGGAAATTCAGGGGAAATAACTCTTTTTATAATATGCAGGATCTAGTTATATTTTAGCAGAGAGGCTCTTCATGAAATTTAGCCTGTCATAATTCCACTTTAAAAAGTTGTCTATTTGTTCAACTGAGGTAGTAAAAATATGTGATTCATTTACCCAACAATAAGTACACTAAATCACATATGCTCACTCATTTACATAACTAACGTGTATGGAAGTAGGCATGGAGCTTGAGTGATGTAGAATTAAAGCTGGTATTGGTCAACACCTGTACACATCCATATAATTTCTGAATGAGTTATTTTAATTGAGTACACAAGTACAAGTATTTTATTTAGGACAGTATAGCTACTGAAAGAGTTTTTTTTTCCTAAATGAGAAAGTAGAAAATAAATAGTATAAATACAAACTTTGAACAAAAAATTATATAATTCATATAGTAGTTATATATAGGATTATCATGAAAATAAGATATCTTTCATTTGTAGATTTTTGTTAATTCAGTAAATTGTTTCCTTTCTTAGAACTCTTAAATGATATCTCATTTTCTTTAATGATAAAATTAAACTCCTTAGCACAACATACAAGGACCCTCATAGTCTGTTTCCTCAATTACCGGCCTGTCCTATTGTTCACCACTCCCCACTTTATAGTTTACACTCCATCCATATGGAATTACTGAATGTGGCAGACATCCACCCAAAATCCAGCCTTTTTTCTCTTTCTTACAAACAGAACCTTGGGTTTGTTATAGTATTGAGAAGAGATCTCTTGTTCTCAGGAAATTCCAGCCTATTACATAACCTGGAGGTGGGTATATTCCTTAGTTCTAGGCAAGAAGAAGTCTTCTAGAAAATATTCTTTTCCTTTTTTTTTTTTTTTTTTATTATTTAAGACCTTTATTAACAGGTGCTTGCAGTTTGTTGACTTTTTTGAAAAAATCAAGTTGTAAACTTTTATTACAAATTAAAAATGAAGTTCTTAAAAATCTCAACTTGACCACATATGAAACAATTTAAAAACCTTTAAAGGCGTATTGAGAAAAACCAGGCTTTTTTAAAAAACACGTTTGTTATTACCAAAAAAGACATCTTTAGGTAAAAATAATAAAAACCCCATGCTGCATAGATAATGCAGATAGTTCTAGTTATCTGGTCAACGGGCAAAAAGCAAGCACTTAAGGTCTTCAGCTCCAATCTTTCGTTCATTTCTTATTGCTGGAATTTCATATTCATTTCTTCTTGTTGGATGACTAAACCGGACGATGGTAGAGATGGTAAGCCGGCATTTACTCAGCCCCGCCCTGCTCAGCCTCGGGAGCGGACGAATTCTCAGCTGGTGGATCAGCTGTTTTTGTCTCTTTGTCATCTTGTGGTTTAGGGTTTTCTGGGCGTCTGCGTCGGTAATTAAAGTTACGGCGGTACCGACGTTGAGGCGGCTGCTGACCTTGGGTCTCATCTCCTTGATTCTCTTTATCCTCTTCATTGCCGTCCTCTCTGGGCTGTCTTTGGCGAGGAGGGCCCCTGCGGAATTGTGGTCTATAACCCGGATACATATTCTGTCTTTCTGGTGGTCTACCTTGTGCTCCTGCACCCTGGTTGTCAGCACCCTCCATCACTTCTCCCTGTACAGGATGGTTGGAATACTGTGGTCCACGCCCACAGGGTCTCGCACATAGTAAGGTGGGAACCTTCGCCTGCGGTAGGGCCGGCGTTGCTGGGCCTGGCCTTCAGGAGCACTCTCCAATCCCTCATTCTTTTCCCCACTCTCACTGTTCTGATAATTCTGCTGGTAATTGCGTGGAGGACCCCGGCGACATGGATAGCGTCGGTGATGGTTACAGTCTGCTGCATATTTACTGCCTTGAACTGGATTCCACCAGGGCCTGTAACATTTGCTGCCGCCACATCCTTTTCTCCTTCAACAACATCAAACTCCACAGTTTCTCCATCTCCTACACTGCGAAGGTACTTCCTGGGGTTATTCTTCTTTATGGCAGTCTGGTGTACAAATACGTCTTCCTTGGTGTCATTCCTGTTGATGAAACCATATCCGTTTCTTACATTGAACCATTTTACTGTCCCCAAAACCTTCGTTGGGATGACCTTCTTGTCCCCGCCGGCAGGCGCCTCCGATGTGAGGCCACTGGGGCCACCGCTCCCTACGCTGCCTGTGGTGCTGGGCTTGGAGTCGGCAGCGCTGAGGGCGGGGGCGGCGGGCGGCTGCTGGGTCTCTGCCTCGCTGCTCAGGGTTATGGTGATGGTGACTGGGGCTGGCTGCGGCAGCTGCGGCTCCTCCCGATGTGTGATGGTAACTAGGCCGGCGGCGGCGGTGGGGCTTCACAGGGCTCTCTGGGGTCCGCTCTCCGCTCCCGCTACCGATCAAACTCTAGAAAATATTCTAAAAGAGATCTCTTACTAATAAAAGAAAATATCCGTGTGTCCTTTATTTATTTTGGTTGTAGAAAGCCAAGGTGCCTGGTGCTAAAGCAGCCACGTTACAGTCATGAGACGATAAGATTGGAGCCCAGATCTTTCGGATTCCACTGTCCACACAGTTTTCACTACCTTTTTCCTCTTGAACAGCCTTGAGGTCATTTGGCTAAGATTGCCATCTAAACTATGAATAAAATGAGTAGAAATGTCGAACTGAATGTGCCAAAGCTGAACTGCAGATTATCCCCATCTTCCCCCACTCCTAAACCAATTCTGATTCACCAAAAACCTTCCCATTGCAGCTGCTGTGACTCCAGAATTTTAGTTGCTGAGGCCATAAACCTCAGAATTGTCTTCGGCTCCTCTTTTTGCTCATGTCCCACAGACAATCTGATGAGGAAATCTAGTTGACTCCACTGTTAAAAACATATCCAGAAGCTTCCTACTCCTGCTCATATCTCCTGCTACCCATGTCCAAGGTGCTATCACCTCTCGCTTGAACTTGTGTTATAGCTTCCAAGCATAGCACACAGAGTGAGTCTTTAAAAAAATAATCTGGTTCATGTCATTCCTAGGCTTAAAACCTTCCAAAGGCCCTCCAAAACTTTCTCTGTCCTTTACGCCAGTCCTCCCTGTTCCCTACATAACAGACCCTGGAAGGTTAGAAGTGAAATGACTCACCCAGAGTCACAGAGCCTATTGTAATGGGAATCAGGCTAGAACCCAACTCAATACAACAAGACAAAGATGGCAAGGTTCAGGTTCTTGAGTCATATTTAAACATGGACAATTTATCTAATTCAATTCATAATGGAGAAGATGTGGGAAAGGACTGTCTTTCCTACCCAAATGAATGTTGGTCAAAGGCAGCGATTAATTCTCCTAATTCTAGGATCCTCCCCAGATATTTCTTAAAAGAATGAACTATTTCTTCTCAAAGTGACCAAGTGTCTAGCACAGTGACTGACTTTCTGAGTGTATTCTAGGTAATAGATGCATCCATTAATATTCATCACAGCCAGGATTCTACTACTATTCTCCACAGTGCTATGCCCAGAAAGTCATTAAGAAAATCTTCTGATGGTATCTGCATTTTTAGGTAAGAAATGCTTTATAATTATTAATATATGTATAATGAATGGTGAAAGTACTAGTTCAATAATATCTTTATCTCTCTCAAACTCTCAAATACCTTCCTCACTAAGATCTACTACTCAGCTGAAAATGTCCCCTTCCTCTCACCCTTCCTTCTATTCTTACACACATGTGAAATAAACTCTGTTAACCTGAACTACTTCCTTAACAAAATAAACATTAATCACTCACTTTGCACTAGGCCTTGTTTAGAATGTCATTAATTTATGGTGGATGCTGAAAACGGAAGTCCCTTAGTTAGCCTTGAGGCTCCCTTTCCAGGGGCAGCAGGCCCTATTTATATATTTTCCCACTCTGGATTAGTGCAAATCAAGCAGATAAAGTTATAAGGCAAAAGGCCATTGCCCTTTGGCATTATTCCAATCCTGCGTATCAGTCTGCTTGATTCTAGGGAAGAGAGTTCAGTTGACATTTCTTGTTTTGATAGCTGATATTTTTATTAGCAACACTCACCAACATGCTATCTTAGTAGCAGTAAGAGATAGATGATAATGGACCACTGTAATAAATATTGTATTATGTATTTACAAATTAGTAACACCAACACCTGCATAAAAAAAATGACATTCTTTCAACCAATCATTTTTTTAAGGCAATATAACCAGTGCTATTTGGAGTTCAATTTTCTGAGTTAAAAGTCTCTTGAATGCTTTTTGTCATGTCATACTAGAAAGCAATATTTATAAGTCATTCCATTCTTTCTCATTTTATAGATGGGTCAAAAGGAAGATCAAATCATTTTCACAAAGGCACAGAACAAACAATGCCAGCACCAAATCCCATGATATCACCACCGGATCTAGAGACAGACAAGGCCATTGTGACATTCTGATGAACAATGCATCAGTGGAGAGAGATGGAACCAGAGGCCCTAAAAGCTTTCCTTGCTCAAATTTCCTTGATTAGAAGTAGCATCAAAATTGCTCCCCATTTTCCACAGTGAAAAATGCTGCTCTTGAAGCAGTTTTTAAAAGGTTATATTATGGGACGCTTTCTGTGAAACAAACATTTTCCAAGTTGTTGTCTTCCTTCCTAACAATCACTTACATTCAAGAGGTTCTTTTTTATTTATTTATTTATTTATTTTTTTGGTTAAGGGATTTGGTCTGGAAATTGGAAAATAGATAGAATATCCTCAACTAAGAGCTCCTTTTATCATTTTGAAACATAAGATAGAAAACAAAATCAACAAAAATGTTTCAATAACAATGGGATAGTGCATGGGAAGGTTATTTAAATGTAGGGCACAGTGTTTCCTGGTAGATTAAATGAGACTTGCCATAGAGAAAAGGGCCTGAAAAACAAACTTTAGTCATTGTTGACCCACTCCTCTCATGGTCCTTTAAAGACACAGGACAAGAACCAAAAAAAATAGACTATGGACTAAGATCCAAAGAGCCCAATATATACCACCAAATTTGCCACCCACTAGCTTTGGAACTTTGAGTAAGTCATTTAAACTATCTGAGCGTCAGTTTGTTCATATGATAAATGAGAAGGTTAAACCTAAATAAATGATCATATAAGATTCTTTTCAGTTTTAAAATTCAAAAAATCTACTCTTTAGCTTGAATAAAATGTTTACTCTGAAAACCATTGCATCTCTTACTCATGACTAATACACACATTCAAGTGTTCTTCACATTGAAAAATCTTACACTGTTGGATAAACTGTAGTTCTGAGAAACCATTCTTCCTTCTGAAGTTAGAGCGATTATTTACAACATAAGTCTAATCATGTCATTCCCTACATTAAAACATGTCACAATTCAATAGCTAACATTTATGGAGTACTTAACAATGTTCCAGGCATTGTTCTAAGTGCTTTATATGGTTTAAGTTATTCAATTCTTTCAACAACCCTATGAGAGAGGTTTTATTATTACCATCCCAATGTTACAGATGAGGAAACTGAGACACAGAGCCCACAATCCTAAACATTCTATTTTGCTGCTTCTTCTCAAAGAGTTGTTGAAAATACGTTGACCCCATTGTTCTTAGGATAAAGTTCAGTTCCTAACAAATGTAGATTGAGTCCATGTTAAACAGCTTCATTTCTGGTCATATCTCCTCCTAACTACAACTATATTGAACTCATTGCAGTTCTTCTGAAATGTAGCCTTGGAGAGAGAGGGAGAGAATGCTGTTTTCTCTTCCTCTACTATTTTTCTCTTTGCCTGGATAATACAAATGTCATAGTTTGGATTTCACCTCTTCCAAGAAGTTATGAGGCTGAGTGGTTAGATGCTTCCTCTCTTGTGCTCCCAAATCTTCCTGTAGTACTCCTATTGCAGCATGCCTTACAGGATATTAAAATTAACTGTTTACATTTATATATCCCACTACTGTAAGCTTTTTGAGTGTGGAAACTTTGTATTCTTAGAGTCCAACATATATTTATGCTCTTAAATATTTATTGAATTAATGGAAACAAAGAAGCATATTTGCCTTTTCCTCTCCCCAATTTTACATTCCTAATACCATCATGTTACTTTCAAGAAAACCTAGTGGATTCCATAGTGCTCTGAAAGCATTTTTTTCTTCCCCATTAAAAGTTATCCATTCTATGATCTTTTCTATCAGAATCTTGATCTACTTGCCCATTTGTCCAATACTGCTCACATTTCCCCACGACTTTCCCAAAGGAGTGACTAAAGGCAATCTAGGCATTGAGGTGAGATATTTCTTTCTCTTTTTTTAATTTCAAAATATTATGGGGGTACAAATGTTTTTGGTTACATGCATCAATTTTGTTATGTTTGAGTCAGGGTTATAAGTGTGCCTATTACCCAGATAGTGTTTATTGTACCTGTTAGGTAGGTTATTGCCTATCTCCTCCTGCCCCTTCTCCCTGGCTTGATTTCCACTGTATTTCACTTCCCTCTGTGCACATGTGAGCTCATCGGTTAGTTTCAATATAATAGCAAGTACATGTGGTGTTTATTTTTCCATTCTTCAGATACTTCACTTAGGATAATGGTCTCCAGTTCCATCCAAATTGTTGCAAAAGGCCTTAATTCATCCTTCTTCATGGTGGAGTAGTATTTCATGGCATACATATACCACAATTTGTTAATCCATTCATGTATTGATGGGTGCTTGGGTTGATTCCACATCTTGCAATTGTGAGTTGTGCTGCAATAAACATTTATGTGCAGATATCTTTCTTATAAAATGACTTCCTTTCCTTTGGGTAAAAACCCAGTAGTGGCATTGCTGGAGCAAATGGTAGGTCAACATTTAGTTCTTTGACGAATCCCCATACTGTTCTCCGTAGAGGTTGTAGTAATTTGCAGCCACACCAACAGTGTATAAGTGTTCCTTTCTCTTTGCATTCTTCCCAGCATCTGTTGTTTTTGGACTTTTTAATAAAAGCCATCCTGACTGGAGTAAGGTGATATCTCATTGTGGTTTTAATTTGCATTTCTCTGATGATTAGTGATGTTAAGCATTTTTCATATGTGTATAGGCCATTAGTCTATCTTCTTTTGAAAAGCTTCTGTTCATGTTCTTTGCCCACTTTTTAATGGGATCATTTTAATTTTTCTTGCTGATTTGCCTGAGCTCTTTGTAGATTCTGGTTATTAGTTCTTTATTGGATATAGAGGTTGCGAATATTTTCTCCCATTCTGTAGGTTGTCTATTTGCTCTGCTGATTATTTCCTTAGGTGTGCAAAAGCTTTTTAAGTTAATAAAGTCCCATTTATTTATTTTGTTGTTGCTGTGATTGCCATTGGTGTCTTCTTCATAAATTCTTTGCCTAGGCCAATGTCTAGAAGAGTTT